TAGTCTCTGTTTACGGGTGTGTAGTCACCATTAAAACAATTAGAGTCTTGCTTAGAGAGGAGGGTGTTTGTGTTATGCCAGATTATGGATCTTAAATTTCAATATTTGTGAATTTAATTTATGATAAAAACAAGAAACTTTTAATAGGAGCAGATTCTTTTATTCCTATTAAAACAGTTCCAACTTCTGTGTTATGTAGCCTCCAAGTAAAATTTCTCACTGTCTATTCTTGGTGTGGCTTTTAAGGGAGGTCAGGATTTCTGCTGGCAAAGGATTTTTCCTTTAGATCCACGGTAATTGTTTCATCATCGATCAAAACAGAGCTGAACTAGATGCATCATGTTATAACTATGACACCATGCCAGCCTTATAATTAGAAATTTTGTTATTTTCATAGGAAATAAAGCACAAGAATAATTTTGAAACAAGATCCCAGCTTCTTCGAATCCAGAACTGGGCTCTTCTGACCCATAGCTTCTCGGGGCCAAGGAGCGGGTCCCGTGGAAAAACCCTCGGCTGAAGAGTGGGACCCCAAGTTCCTAGTTCAGCTCCGGCACTCTTTTTTATGGTGTTCATTTTCTTCTCATACAGTAAGAGCTAGGACAGGTCAACCCTAAAGTTACTTACATTATATTGAACCCTAAGTCCATGACTGCTGGATGATGTCTGACGTTAAGAAGAAAATGCCTTGCAGTCTAATATTACTGGATTTGTTTTTAAAAAGATCATCTCATCTCTGCAGAAGTTGAGTCTGAGCTAAGGAAAGACTAGAGAGAGAAACCACGAACACATGACTGTAATAATTGAAAATATGCTGGCTATCATTTCTGCAGCACGTCTCCCTCATTTTCAGTCAGAAACAGGAAATCCATAAGTTCTGTAAGTGTTCTTCCCAATTATTAGGAAAGTTCCTTTCATTAAAGGGATTTTAAAGACAAAAAAGAAATGCTAGAAAAAGCCACTGCTCCCTTTTCAGCGCTCCCGTTGGAGTTTGGTGCCTACCTCTACAGTGGCCCTTAGCCACGTGGTGTCGCAATTATGATGCTACGTGGAGTGACCGAACAGAAACCCTGGCACCCTGGCCCTGCCTCTTGTTATGACTGGAAAGCTGCCCCTTCACCCTAAAACCCTCCACCTGTGCTTTGAACTCCCGTTGGCTTCTCAGGAAGCCAGAGAATTCAATCTTACGCGTGAATTCTCACATTGTAACCTTGCCCTCTACACTAGATCCTTCCGTCAGCTTTTCACATGCCACCACTAATTCTTTCCCCCCTGATCCCCATGGCTAATCTCTCCTTCTCTTCAGAGCCGGACTTCTGCTGCTGCAACCGTACTTTTTCATCTTCCCTCCTCAACCCACTCCAGCCAAGCCCACACCCCAGGATGCTGCCAAAACCATCGTCCTCCAGGACCCCGAGATTTCTGTCTTGCCCGCTCGGTCGTCATCTCTTCGTCCTCGTTTTCTCCACCTCGGCAGGGCTTGGTGCGGCTGGCCGTGCTCTCCCCGGCCGTGTGGGGCTTGGTTCCCGGCTGTGCCTGACTTCTCTGGCTTTTCCTTCTCAGACCCCGTGCAGATCCTCTCCCTCCCTCTGCCTGCCAAATGCTAAAGGTCCTCGTGGTCTTTGTGTTTCAAATGCTGAATGACACCCGAGCGTTTTAAACTTTAAGGACATACATGGCATAAGTAATGCTTTAAACCACACGGTGCAAAATGTCACGGAAGACATGGGTAAAGAGCATTTTTTTCCTCTAGGCTACAAAATTAGTCATAAAAGATGTGAAAATACTTTTGTTGTTTCCTCCTATCATAAAAGTTGATTCTTTTGTTTTAAAGTAAAATATCTGTTCTTTTCACATGACAGAGTTTAATCTTTTTTGGGTCAGAGTATGGTAAATCATTTGGTTGTAATAGTTTGTTGTCAGAACTCTTCAACGTTGAGTAATCTGCTGTGTCCATCGTCCAGCTCCACCAGACCCCTCAGCTTCCCAAGCTCACGTGAATGAACCTCTGAGTTGGCTGCTCTGCGCTGGGTGGACACTGGACAGAGAAACCCAACTTCTTCCACATCGCTTAGGCCTCTCTTGCCTCCCATCTGCATATCAGAAAAGCATACTTTTGAATCAGGTTTTGGTGATCAATAGTCATCATTTAAAAGCTAATACTTTCATAATCACCTCTTTGTGCCAGGCACTACTTGGCATTGACTTCCCTCGAGAACATACTCAAGAATCAACAGTTATTATTTCTGTTTTCAGTTCATGAGATGGGGCCTCAGAGAAGGTGAGTGACGTGCTGAAGAGCACACAGCTAGGACTTGCTAGAGACGGGATTCGGCTTTTCCGAGCAGTGTTGGAGTTAGTGCTGGTAGCCACTGGACCACATCTCCAAAGCAAGATTTCTGGTACTTTTCCCCATTGGTGCAGGGAATCCTGCATGTGCCCAGCACTTGGCTCTGCTTCTAAGATAAGAATTCTGTATTGTCTTTTGATTAAATCTACAATTACTGTTTCTTCAAGTTGGGACCTGAACCCTAATTGTTACCAATCACATAAAGTGTTCCATTTTAAAGAGATGTCATTTTTTTTGTTTCAAATCTCATTTTAAATAGATATTGTGGGTAAAATTTTAAAAATGATGATACTCTGCTTACAATTTATAGAAGGCAATGAATAATCATTTTATAACATCTAAATTTTGTGTCTAAATATTATCTAGATCGTGTTTTTATCAGTTAAGTAATTTTTAAATTACTATGAGAGTTTTTTAAGATTGCGTTTATTTCTTTTTAGAGAGGGGAAGGGAGAGAGGAAGAGAGGGAGACGTCAGTGTGTGGTTGCCTCTCGTGCACCCCTTACTGGGGACCTGGCCTGCAACCTAAGAATGTGTCCTCACTGGGAATCAAACTGGCGACCCTTTGACTTGCTGTCCAACACTCAATCCACTGAGTTGCACCAGCCAGGGTGAGAGTGGTTTTTTTCCCCAGATGATCTGTGCTATTACTAATTAGAAAACAAACAAAAATAAGAAGAAATCCTCATTTTTATGAATAATAAAACTACGAAAAGAAAGGTTAAGTGTGTGCTGTTTAATAAGGTGCACTGGCCACCCGTGACTACTGAGCACCTGAAATGTGGCCTGAATTGGGATTAGTGGTAAGGGCAAAATACAAAGCCAATTCTGAAAACTCCAGACATTAAAAAGGGCTGTAAAATATCCCTTTAGCAACTTTTACATCATTAACATGTTGAAATAATAATATTTTGCATATATTGGGAGAAGTAAAATATATTATTAAAGGTAATGTCACTTACTTCTGTTCACCTTTTTCACGTGGCTACTAGAAAGCCTTGGACTCCACATGTGATTTTCCACACATACATGAACGGGACTGGGATGAAAGAAAATACGCGTGTGAGTGGGATCAAGCAGTTCGTAGCACAAATACCCATCAGCGGAAAGGATGCTTTTCTCAGTGGCAAGGTCAAATCCCTATGTGATGCCCATTTTCTCAGAGTTCTGCTCTGTCGGGCGGCCGTTGAATCCACAGGCACCCTGAGGTCCTGGCTGGGGGGCTGGGTCGTTTGGACACTCATCTCAAAATGTTGCAGGTTTGATCCCCAGTCAGGTCGCATACGGGAGGCAACCGAATGGCGTTTGTCACATCAGTGTTTCTCTCTCTCTCTCTCTCTGTCTCCCTTTCTCTCTAAAATCAGTAAACACATCCTCGTGCGATGACTGAAAACGGAAAGCTGGGAGAAGGCATTTCCTCCTCAGGAGAAGTCTCAGACTGATTTTTTTTGCAACCACTTGGAAATACGGGCCTGGGATGACACGTCAAGAACAGACAAAGGATCGGCGTTTCCCGTGTGGATCTCTGAGCACCTGGCACGGCTCCGAGCAGTGGTCGCCGTGCAGAGCGCTCAGCCCCACCATTGGGGCGACGGTCCCTAGCACAGCGGTGCAGAGCCAAAGGGCACCCACCATGAGTTCATTATATAATTCTTGGTAGCCGAGGCCAAGTGTGTATCTGCTCCGGGGGACGGTCCGCAGGCTGTGCCGCGCAGACCGAGGCGGTCACCACGATGTTTTGACAGAGCGTGTGCTAGAGGTTGTTTGTTTGCAAAGAGACTGACCAGCTTCCCCCCCCCCCCACTCTCTGTGTGTCCCTCTCTCCTCCTTCAAACACTCTGCCGTAACACTGAATGACTTTGTTTTCAAGCTGCCTTAGCCTTTCTTTGTGAAGAAAAGGCCTGAGTATACTTTCCCTGTAGGGCACAAGTGTTATTTTTGGAGCAGAGGTTCTTAGCCTGATCTCTGTCTAAACCAGTTTCTGGCTTTTGTGAGGTCGTGGTCTGGGGTGGCTCTGAGTGATCTTGGTGGAGGGAAGCTTCCCAGCTTTGGGAGGGAGCGTAGGCACAGCTGTCGGGGGGCCACCCTGACACCTCGCTGCTGTGTAGAGTGGTGTGCTTTTTCTGCTGGGTCCCTTCATGGGACATTTGGGGTTAAGGTGAAGCTCCCTTTTTAACCTGGTACTTTAGGTCACAGACTCCTAAGACCTAAGAAAGCCATGGGATTAGTGGTAAGGGTAAATCTCTGCAGACCACTCAGAGTGTGGGGCGGGGCTGTGGGAGAGCCACAGCCCACTCTGATGGCCATGACTTGGGTCCCCAAGCACCCCTTGGGACAGGTCTCAGGACCCTGAGTTCATCTTCTTGGGTGAGCTGCTCTGCCTCCGGCTGCTAGGAACCAGGAAGAAAACGTCTCCAACTTCTCCCAGTTCCTCTTCCTGACCTGTCAATGGCTGGGGGCGTGCAGAGCTTGAGTCTGCTAGGAAACGTGTAAAATGAGGACAGTTTAAAACTGCGCTCAGCACCACGAAGCATACCACCTCATTCTGACGCCCTTCCTTTGGAAACTGGTAGCTGTGTGTTCAGGGAGCAGGTAGCTGTGTGTGTGGAGGTATCCTGCTACCACCTCAGGGGACAGGCGGTGACCTGTGATGTGCCTTTCCCTGACCAGCTATACACAGCCAGCAAAGCTTCTTCTGAAAGAAACCTCTTTCTCCTCACCCCTCCTCCCCCACCAGTTGCAGCTGCAGGCCAGAGGCCTTTCTGTAAATCCCCTGGGAATTACTGAACCTTGGAGCAGAAACCAGCCAGCTGGCACCCCAGCCACGGTGGACATGGGGGGCCTGGACACCTGATCGCCAACACGGCCTACCAGCAGGCCCGGAAGACCTCAGAGTGCCACAGCATGGAGCGGCAGTGACGCCGCAGGAGCCCGATGCTGCCTGGGCAGCAGAGCGGTGCCCCGGGACTTCGACAGCCTATGTGAGCAGCAATCCATTGGCCACCACTTCTTCTAGGACTTCCTAGCCACAGTGTCCCCATCCCAAGAGGCCACGACCTTCCTTGAGGAGTGTCCCTCTAGGGCAGCATGCTGCAGGCGCTGGTGGGCACTGGTGGGGCTGCCCCTCCCCTGGGACACCCACACCCCTTCCTCAGCCCAACCCTGGCCACCAGGTACCAAGCAGCCACTACTGAGGAAGAGTGAGCGGCCCTGGTGACACTGGCCAAGGCTGAGGCCGTGGCCTTCTTGCAGGACCAGCCCTCCTGGGATTTCCTGACCAGCCCGTTCTATGGCAAGTTTCCACAGTGGAAAGGCTTTGAGATGTAGCTGGTGTCAAACAAGTTCTTCACCGAGTTCAAGGTGCTAGTGAAAGGTGGTTTGGGGGGCATAAGTGTCTCGGAACAGCCAGGTGGGGAATTGAAGGATAGAGTTTTGTTTCGGTTTTTTTCTTTTTTGATTCTAGGGAACTTCCTCAAAACTAATTTCAGTGCCACCTGTAGAGAATTCTCAGCTTGCTCTCCCCTCTTCTTTCTCACAACCATGTGAAATAAAATGAGAACAGCATAGGAAAGACAAACAAAATGTGGAACTGGCCAAGAATCTTTATCTTGGGGTCCAATCAGGAACCACCGAAATGCCCTGGACATTTTGGAGAATGATATCGAAGCATGATGGGGGAGCTCTCTTCCCGCTTGAAGGGGGTAACAGGTGATTTGAGAAAAGCTGCAGGTACCCGAGAACACCCCCATCTCCGGCAAAGCTGGGAATTCACTTTGCACCACTGCTGTGCTCAGCTCTTTCCTTTTTTAAGTAGAAAAAAGTCTTGAGGTAAAATTCACATAACATTACCCTGAACCATTTTTGAGGTAAAATCCCGTAACACAAAATTAAACATTAACTATTTTAAAGTGTGCAATTCAAAAGCATTTAGTTCATTATAGTGTTGTATAACCTTCACCTCTATCTAGTTCCGAGATAATTCCGTCACCCTGTACCCATTCACAAGGGCTCGCCACCCCCTCCTCCCTGGCCCTGGCAACTGCCGGCCGGCCAGCTTTCTCTCTCCGTGCACTTGCCTAGTCTGACATTTCCTGAAAGCGGAGCCACACGACACGTGACCTTCTGTGTCTGGCTTCTTTCACTGGGCATAATTTTCGGAGTTTGTTCATGTCGTAGCCTGCATCACTCTTTTTTTAGGGCTGAATGATATGCTATTGCATGGGTGTGCTACGTACCCATTCCCCTGTGCTGGACACTTGGGTCGTTTCTACCTCCTGGCTACTGTGAACAGTACCACTGTGAGCATCCACGCACAAGTATGTATTTGGGCACCGATCTTCATTTCTCTCTCATATACGTCTAGGAGTGGAATTGCTGGGTCGTGTGTTTAAGCTTTTGAAGAAACACCAAACTCTTTCACATTGTGCATTCCCACCAGCAATGCCCAAGGGTTCCAATGTCTTCCTATCCTCGCCAACACTTGTTATTTTCCTTTTTTCAGTATAGCCCACCTGGTGGGAGAGAAGCGGTACCTAACTGCGGTCCGAACCTGACCAATTTCTCAGAAGCCCACCATCTTCACTTCGGCTGATGTCCACCCCTCCCCCTGCCAGCTCACCCTCCCCACCTCCTCTCCCCAGTACTTTCCGCTTCTGCCTCTTTCTCTCCCTTTCTTTCTCTCCTTTAAGGTGGTCTCTCCTTAAAGCTGGCCAGCTGAAAACCACTGGTAAGACGTATGCCTGTAAGAAACTAGACAAGAAGAGGCTGAAGGAGAAAAATGGTGAGGAAATGTCTCTCTTGGAAAAGGAAACCTTGGAAAGGACCAGCAGGCCTTTCACTGTCTCTCTGGGCTATGCCTTTGTGAGCAAGTCTCATCCCTGCCTGGTCATGAGCCTGACGAATGAGGGAGACCTCAAGTGCCACATCTACAGCGCAGTCACTCGAGGCGTGGCCATGAGCAGGGTGGCCCTCTACTAGGCCCAGATGGCCCGTGGGCTGCGGCACCTGCACTCTCTCAGCATCGTCTGCTGAGACCTGAAGCCTGAGAATGTGCTTCTAGAGGACCTTGGCAATCCAGACTGTCCGGACTGGGGCTGGTCATGCAGATCCAGGAGGGCAAGCCTGTTACCCAGAGGGTAAGTGGATCTCCACCTGCCCCTAGGTTGGGGCACAGGGTTGGAGAGGAGAAGAGAGGGCTGTTCTAGTCCCAGGGCAAACAGCCTTGAACTCAATTCTTCTCATTTTCATTTTCCTAAAGCTCTTATGTTGTCATCTTGCCTTAAGTGGAGGGTGTAAGAGGATTAGTTTAACTGCTTATTTGGGGGACTACTTAGCTCTCCTCTCAATTGGAAGCCAAGGGGAGGTTCCATAGTGTAGTGGTCAGCACTCTGGACTCTGGAAGCCAAGGGGAGCCTTTTTAGTGACTTGGAGATGGTTCGTGCCAAATCCACAGTCGGAGCCTGGGTGTGTTCCACCGACAACCACTTCTTGGTGCCGTGTCCCTAAGCCAATAGAACCTTGGTTTCCTTTCTGCAAAATGAGGGGGCTGGACCTTAAAATCCCAGGATCCTTGCAGGTCAACTTTAACAACGTAAGACAAAGAAAAAGAAGAAACCCCTAACTCTTAGCAATGTGAAATTAAATATGTCCTCGCCTGTTGAGTGTGGACTGGGGAATGTTTCACAATGGATAAAGGTGAAATTTGAAATGAAAATATATAGAAGAGAACAAGGGTCACTGATGTTTATTTTAATCAATTTCATTCAAAGTGGCTTGTAGAGATTCTTTGGTTGCAGAGGGAATTATATATAATTAAGCAATTTTGTTAAGTCAGCAATACAAAATTTCTGGAATTCTGACAGGCCTTTATCACTGAGTTTCTGTGCATGCAGGTGCAAGATTCCCCAGGAAGCCAGGGCCCAGGGCACATTCTTAGATATTCACTTAACACTGTTTTTGCACAGCTTCCAGTTTACAAGACAGAGAGAACAGTCAGGCAAGCAGGTGAGGAGAACCATGGCCCGTCTGGGAACAGCAGGTGATTGCACCGGGCTGTGAGGTGAGGGGCTGCGACGAGAAGTGTCAGGCTCAGATCGTGCAAGGGTGCTGGGATGCTTTCCTGTGGGGAACAAACAGCTGTTGAAAGGGTTTAAGAAGGGAAATGACGTAAGTCTACTTGCATGTTTAAAAGACCAATGTGAGCCCTTGCAGGTGTGGCTCAGTTGGTTGGAGCATAGTCCTATACACCAAGAGTTTGGGTGTTCGATTCCGGGTCAGGGCACATACGAGGCTGTCAATTTAATTCCTGATCAGGGTCCTTATGGGAGATAGCCAATCAATGTTTCTGTCTTCCTCTCTTGCCACCCCACCTTCCACTCTCTCTAAAATCAATAAACATATTAAAAAATAAATAAGTGACCAATTTAAAAGGTAGATAAGAGGCAGAGAAATAAGTTAGGATCTCGATGTCATGGCCCAGGAAGGGTCGATGGGGGCCTGCTTAAGCCAGTGGGACTGAAGGAGTGGGAGTAAATCGGAGCTATTGGGAAGAGACTGGGCGGGACCTCGGGGAGAGCGGTAGTGAGGGTCTCTAGTTCCAGTGACCAGAAGTGACAGGGGCGGAAGCTGCCACGTTCAATTGTGATGGTATTACACATGAGGCTCCTCTAGGTGGGTGGAGGTGTCCTGGACACTGAGACCCGCAGGTCTGGTGCTGTGGAGAGAAGTCTGGGCTCCGCATGGGGACCTGGCGTCGTCGTGGCTCAGGAAGCAGCAGGCACCGCGGGCAGCCTCTGCCCCCAGAGCCAGAGGAGGACAGGTCTTCCGGAACAGAGCGCCGTCAACACTGCTGAACGGCGTGGCGATCACACGGTCTGTGGGACTTGGCACTTAGGAAACCACAGAGCCTTTGTCAAGGTCTAGACTCAGACTGTGCAGGTCGGACCGACCTGGAGGAAGAGAGCAGCACTAAGGAAAGAGGGAGGCCGGTCGCCGGAGGGGGACACGGGGAGGACGATGGGCGTTGCAGCAGGAAGAGTGGAGCAGATACAGAGGCTGAGGCCAGAATCAGGAGAGAACGTGCTGGTTCTGTGAGGAGGGAAGGGAGTGCGTGATGGAGGAGAAACCAAGGAAGACGTGGAATGGAGCGGAGGACTTCGTAACGCCATCTCCTACGTGGTGGGGAGGAGGCAGAGCGTTTTCCTTGGGACCTTGTAACGGAAATGGGAATGTCGTGAACCGATGTCTGTCTACGCAAGAAAAAACCCACATGCATTACTCCAGGGGTTTGAATTTGTATTGTCAATTAGGCACAGTAGAAATGTTACTTCTGAGTGTCCCAAGTCCATGGACCATGCTAAGGTGATATAGCTTCACCTTGCTGGAGATTTAGGAGATACATAGCTTCATCTCTCTCTCTCTCTCTCTTTCTCTCTCTCTCTCTCTCTCTCTCTCTCTCTCTCTCTGTTAGAAATTTTTTCTCTGTCTTCCTCCAGCTTCGTTCTTGGGCTGAGAGAATGTTGAAGGCCAGTTCCTTTAGTGGCTCCTGTGTCCAGCTCCAGCTCCTTTGGAACTGGCAGGAAACTTTCTGTGCCTCCTTGATGTTATCTACTGTAAAGGACGCACTTGGTAGAGAAGTTCACCACCTCCAGACCGCTGGCCCTTAGCCTTTCCTGGGTCCTTCTCTGTCCCGTGAGACCAAACTTCAGGGTTTAGACTACTTGCCCCATCTAAGAAGTTTCATGTCCCAGTCCTCAGGTCTGCCCCCAAAGCCTGGGGGACCATCGAGAGGGGTGGGGTAAAAGAGAGAGCAAGATTGGAAGCAATAAAAAGACAGAAGAAAGGAAAGCCCCCCTCCTTCAGCAGTTACCCCTGTGCACAGCGAAGGAAAAGCGCTTCATTTCCTATGCACTGCAGCTCCTGCACCTGTGACTGGGCCCTGAAGGCCACAATGTTACACTTCACAAAAGAAATGAAAGATGACACACCTGCAGGGCTTCTGTAGCCACTAGCTTGTTTTAATGCCACGATACTATATGGAGAATTATACTGAGTGTTATGACAAAGGTGTGAAGGAGAATCTCCCTGATTATACAGGTTGGCTCTGCGCTGGCTCTGTGCAGTTTTTCCAGAAATGTTCAGTCGTGGTGACGTCAGAGTCTTCACTAGATTCTCTTCTTTCAGCTCCTCATTTAGTCTTGTGTGAGTTAGGGTTGCTTTTTGCTACATGTAACAGAACACCAGATTCTCAACGGTCCAGGCCCAACCAAGGTCTCTGTAGAAATCTCCTGGCCCTTTCCTCCTCGTCACAAGATGGCTTTTGCAACTCCAAACCTCTAGTCCACGTTCCAGGATGGAAGAAAGGGGGAGGAAGAAGCAATGTCAACAGACTTTTGCTTACATCCCATTGGCCAGACCCGTGCCACATGTTCACCTCCAGCTGCAAGGGAGCCTGGGAAATAGAGTTCTTCGTTTTCCAGCTCCTGCTGCAAAGGATGCAGAGGGAGAAGAGGAGTGAGGTTAGGGGGTAGACAAGCTGATGGCATCTGTTGCACCAATGCCCAGGGGAAAAAATATTGACAGGGTCTAGGAAATTGCACTCAGCTGTTTATTCACACAGGGATTAAAACTGAAGAATAACTAGTATGGGGGGGACTTCCGCCAAGATGGAGGTGTAGGTGGAAGCACTGAGCCTTCTAGCACAACTAGGTTTAAAAACAACAAAGTTTTAGCCACAAAAACACAGCCAAACCACAGAAAATTGAACTACACGGAAGTCTGACAACAACGAACCCTTCAGCCAAACCGGTAAGAGGGGCAAAGCCAGCAGCAGAGTGGGGTTGGGCAGGAAAGATCCACCAGACCTACCCAGGCACACGACCCAGGTGCAACCCAGGTGCGTCAGCAGCCGTGGGCGGATCCCAGGTGTGGAGAAGCAGGCAGACCCACTGAGGGCGTAAGGCATTGGACCCAATGAGGGCGCAAGGTGGTGGACCCACTGAGGGCTGATCTCAGTCACACATTAGCATGCAGATAAACTGGCGAAGGAGCTAGCAGTGAGACAGACCTCGCAGGCCGCAGCAGCAGAAAGCGGCAGAGGGGACTGCCATTGTCCCTCTCTGACCCTGCCCCCACATACAGTGTCACAAACCAGTGACCTGGGTGGCCCCACCAACTAAGGCTCCGCTCCTCATACGTATCAGGCATGAGCAGATCAAAACATGGCTCAAGAACAACTCAGAGCCCCAGAGCCGATAAATCTAAGCGATAAAGAAATAGCAAAACTTTCAGATGCACAGTTCAAAACACTGGTGATCAGGATGCTCACAGAACTGGTTGATTCTAGTCACAAATTAGAGGAACATATGAAGGCTAAACTAATTGAAATGAATGGAAATGCACAGGAAACCAATAGTAAAGGAAAGGAAACTGGGACTCAAATCAAAGGAGTGGACCAGAAAGAGGAAAAAAATGACCAAACAGAAAAGAATGTAGAAACAAGAATTCAAAAAAATGAGGAGAGGCTTAGGAACCTTCAGGACATCTTGAAACGTTCCAACATCCGAATTATAGGGGTACCAGAAGGGGAAGAGGAACAGCCACAAGTGGAAAACATATTTGAACAAATAATAAAGGAGAACCTCCCCAGTCTGGCAAAGGAAATAGACTTCCAGGAAATCCAGGAAGCTCAGAGAGTCCCAAAGAAGTTGGACCCAAGAAGGAACACACCAAGGCACATCATCATTATATTAGCCAAAATTAAAATGAAGGAGAGAATCCTAGAAGCAGCAAGAGCTAAGGGGACAGTCACCTACAAAGGAGTTCCCATCAGACTGTCAGCTGATTTCTCAAAAGAGACCTTACAGGCAAGAAGGGGCTGGAAAGAGGTATTCCAAGTCATGAAATCCAAAGACCTACATCCAAGATTGCTCTATCCAGCAAAGCTTTCATTTAGAATGGAAGGGCAGATAAAGTGCTTCTCAGATAAGATCAAATTCAAGGAGTTCATCATCACCAAGCCCTTATTATATGAAATGTTAAAGGGACTTACCTAAGAAAAAGAAGATAGAAAAGATGAACAGTGAAAGGACAGCAAACTCACAGTTATTAAGAACCACACCTAAAACAAAAGCAAACT